ATATCTGATTAGCAAGCTCCAACCACAAAAAAACAAAAAACAAAAATAAAAATAAAAAAGATAAGCCAACAAAACAAAAACAAACAAAAAACTTTCATAACTAATTCTCCATATCCTGGGCTTCACAGCAATGGCACTAGAAGTACACAAGATAAGATCTTCGGAAATGTTTGCATTTTGTGGGGCAAATCACAATAGAAGTTATTTATTCAGCAACCAAGAGTTGGTTCAACGTTCTAAAGCCCACAAAAGCTTAAATGCATTTTCTCTGCTGGCTCAGAAAATCACAAACCTTCCTTTAACAATATTTAAATATTTATTGTGTGTCTACTAGGAACAGTGCTACATACCTAATCAGAGAGGCAAAAGAAAGACAAAATAAAACCTGTGTCTGCCCTCTTAGAGCCTATCTATGCTGAGGGAGACATGCATTCACCATATAAGCACAGAATGAATGTACAATTACAAGCAAAGACCAGTGGAAAAAGAAAGGTTTGCAAACTGACCTAAGCCAATTGATAGTTCACAATGATAATGTGATTTACGGTAGATAAAGGTGCACTCCAATAATTAAGGTTGGAAAGGTCTGCAGTTCTCCCCACTTACCTCCTCACCACCAGGTGTCAGTTACAGTGACAGTAAGCCTCCAGTGGAATTCTGTCACATGAAAGGTTATCAGTAGACGGGCATCCAAAAAGAAAAATAAAATGCATTCAAACAACCTGGCCTGTAAACCCTATGAAGTCCCAGCCTTCAGTTGTTAAATGTAGGCTGCGCTTCTCAAATGCCAGCATGCATAGAAATCACTGGGAGTCTTGCCGAAATGTGGTTGGTCTGGGGTGGGGCCTGAAATTTGGCATTTCTAGCCACCTCCCAGGGATTGCTGATGCTGCTGTCTCCACACCACATTTTGAGCAGCAATGCTTAATGCTCTGACAAAGCACATGGCAGAAAGGGTTCACTTGAAATTAATGTGACAATATTCTGGCAGCAGGATCCAGGTGTCAGCATCCTCTGGAAGCATCTGGACCCAGAAACAGAGGGACTCCTAAACCTAAGGCACCCTTCTGAAGAGTTTGTGCTGCTGGCCATCCTCCATTCTTTACCCTATTTTTGTGAAAGCAAGAGAATATATGCTAGATTTCTAGCCAGTCCACATTGTTTAAAATACCACTCATTAAGTGAATGAAAATTTATTTTAAAAAGATAATTTGCTGATTATTAAATTGGTGGGTTAGAGATAAAGATAGTTGAGCTTTGTGTAGCTGCCCTGAGTGTAGATTTTCAATTAATTTTTCAATGGTAACCAATCACATCTTGAGTGTGTGTATTTTAGATTAAGGTCCTTCAATTATGAAATAAATGTCCCCAAGATGGAGATCACGACAAACAACCACATTGTGTAGGCTGAAGTATTTACAAGTAATTTATAGACAACATAAATTATATAATATAACCTGGGTTCTGTGCATGCCTAAAGAATCCTGGCCAAGACTGAGAGTGGCTTCCCTGGGGAAGAGCTGAAATCTGTAGCATGAGGAGGAGTTTGCCTAGGAGGTGAGAGCATTCCAGGCAAAGGGGACAGCACCTGTAAGGCCCCTCCAATAGCAGGACAGAGCCAATGTTTTACAGCACACTGCCATCCCAAGATTATATAGGTCACAGCAAGTCTCCCAGGGTGGACAAAGGAGGACAGCCCTCGGTTCTTCTTTCCCTTGGGGCATAGCCTCCCAGTCCTAGAATACACTTGGCAGCTGCAGAGTCACACTTCCCTCTGTGATTAAGCTGCAAAACTGACCTTCCTCATCACTCAATTGACTTGTCTTCTGCCTAACTGATTGTGGCCCAATTAACACTTGGACAGATAGATAGTCCATGCCCCTCTGGCCACTAAGGAAATGCCTGCAGCTTCTGGGAGACAAATTCATTGAGTCAGCTAAGAAAACCAAGCACTGTTCAAGTAAAAGCATCTGCTAGCAATACAAAATGTTGTATTTGGTTTAAGGCTGTGGTCCCCAATCCTTGGGCCCCAGACTGGTATCGGTCTATGGCTTATTAGGAACCAGGCTGCACAGCAGGAGTTGAGTAGCAAGCAAGTAAGTGAAGCTTCATGTGTATTTACTCCCCAGCCGCTCCCCACCACTGCATCGCCGCATAAGCTCTGCCTCCTGTCGGATCAGCAGGGACATTAGATTCTCACAAGAGTGTGAACCCTACTGTAAACTGCACATTTGAGGGATCTAGGTTGCACGCTCTTCAATGAGAATCTAATGCCTGATGATCCGAGGTGGAGCTGAGTGGTGATGTTATCGCTGGGGAGTGGCTGCAAATACAGATCATCATTAGCAGAGAGGTTTGACTGCACAATAAATGTAATGCCCTTGAATCATCCCGAAACCATCCCCCCGCCCCATGGGAAAATTATCTTCTAGGAAACCGGTCCCTGGTGCCAAAAAAGGTTGGGGACCACTAATTCGAGGGATTCCTTTGGTATTCTTATTCAAATTCACATGATTCAAGATGAAACCTATTGATGGATTACAGTTATTTTGACGTATCCACAAAAACAGTGCTGTTAAGTGGCAACAGCACAAACACAGGTTATAATAAATACATTTCTAATTTGGAGGAATTTGTATTATATCAAATTTGTCCTTAAAGTGAGACTCTATTAGTTTTTTTACATTATACCTTTTCTAACTGACATAATTTGAGTTAGTTCAAAACACGATTACACAGAATCCATAACTGTTTGTCCTTTATATATTGTGTTTCTTAGAATTCATTGTCAGTATGGCGTACTCTTTGAACTTTTTTCCCTTGGATGTAGATTTTACTGAACTATGCCTAGTCACCCAGTTTATCACTAGTCACCCAGTTTTAGCTCCTAACATTCCCCTTGCTTGCGACCCATCCTACTATAGATGAGTACACGATGTATTAGGAAAATAAAGGAGCAGGCAAAGGGATGTGGGTCAGTTTCTGAGGCACTGTTCATGGTTTAGTTGTTTGTGTAGTTTCTGGGAATTAGCGAGTGAAAGGGTCAGAACTATTTTTATGCCATGTTACCACCAGGGAGATCGCACCAATTTACATTCCCACCAGCAGTGCAAGAGTGCATTTCTCCAAATGCATGTTGATATTATATTTGCTAAATTCCTTAGTAAAACCAACATGCCTGTTTGGAGATGCAAATTCATCACCTTCAGAATTATATTTAACCTCAAGAAGCAACAACAACTACAACAATTTCATGTATGTTTTATATACACACGTACATACGCACACATTATATTCATCTTCACTTTAATAAAAATAGATGTTCATACTAAGGTTATTGGAGATAGGATAGGAAGAGCTATTATACACACATACATACGTTATCTCCACAAGTCTAGATTGCACTGTGGGTTATAATGTACCTTAAAGTAACTTTAGTTTTTTAAGAAATGCACTCACCTTTGACTGTGTAAGGATTTATTGGTTTAGGTGATAAACTCTTTAGTAATTAAGAAAAAGCTTTACTGGTTTAACTGCTAATTCTACTGCCTGGCTTTCGGGTCCATTTAACCCAGTTGTGTCTAGTAAAGTGAAATGCATGTACGTGCGTTTCATTATCTGCCCCATCGCCCTGTGAATCCACTCTGTTGTCTCCATGGCCTTTACTAGGCTTGTTCAGAACTGGTACAGGCTGGAAATAGAAACAGCTTCAAAAATGTTTAGGCGAATTCACGGATGGACTGTGCAATTAATTATCAAGGGAGGTTGGGATGGTTTATGTTACCTTGCTGGCCTCTTTTGGTTGAGATCAGAGATAATAAACATGCTTTCCTGCCAAATTGTTATCACAGACAAAAACAGGGGACTGTACGGACTGACCTGATGAATGAACATTTTTATGATCTTTTAAATCACCTTCTGTTTTTAAGAAAGAGAGCAAACACATAATATCTTGAGTAGATTTGCTTAAGCAGTTTAGACGAAGTTGGCTGGGAGGAATGGTCTATCATTACTGAGCCAGGCAGGATATGGTCTTAAAAGGCAGGGCTGCCAAAACTGCCACGTTGCAAATATAGCTTTCATAAAAATGTGCAGTATTGAAGAGATTTGCTGGTTATGCAACTATTTTTATAGTTACAAACTTAGGAAGTAATTGTGAAGCTGCCTGATGGATGCATGCTAGTTCATTATTCCATTCTACTTTTATATACGTTTGACGTTTTCCATAATAAAAATTTTAACGTAATTGTTAGTAATGGCATTATTGAATAAAAGGAACTATAAAAGTACATGTTGGCCTTACCAATTAGTAGCTAAACCTGATAGTATTTACTCATATTTAGCACATGACCATACAACGGGCCAAGAGCCAACATGAATTTGAAATGTAGACATCATAGTTTCCAGAGCTATCATGGGTTGGTCAAGTGGGGGTGGCATGGAGCAATTTTCTCAGGCAGCCCAGAGTGTGTTACTAACAAGACCATGGAAAACTTAAGAGGCAAGAGAAGTCCTCTGGCCACCCCTTGTGGACACAACCAAGTCCCTGCTAGGGCTCAGGTTAGAGATTGGGAGCCTGGTTGGTATCAAAGGAGAAACAGGAAAGAAAGGACTGACAATAACCAGAGAGGCAAGGGATTAGGTTAAAATAAGAAAGATTGCTAGGCCAGTCCCCAGGCTCTCCGTCCTCTACTGGAGCTTGGCACACTGTAGTGGCGTTCGCTCATTACATGAGAAACATGAAAAGCCTGCATGGAATGAAGAGCTACCCGCCCCAACCCACCGAGTCTTAAAGGAGCTCATTCCCTTTGGAATTGCAGATGTTGGATAAACTTTAATTTTCCCAAATTTTCCCATTCTGAACATCGCTAGGGATTTCACAGAGATGATAGAGTAAGGGCAAAGCCCATTTTTTGAATGAATGAGTAAATGATTCCTAGTTCTTTTTCTCAAAGCTCAGCACAAATCCAAGACATCAGATGCAGAAGGAGTGTTCTCACCTTTCGTTATTGTGTTCTCTCCAGTTCCAACGGCAGCCTCTCTGCTGTAAGAAGTAATGAGTTATTCCAGATTTTGTCTGGCCATACCGACAGGTGCTGAAAATACCTGATCCTGACCAATTTGGGCGGCAATTTAGATTTGACTATCTTATCAAATGTGTCTCTTCTATTCATATGTCCATTCAGTCTACATCTGCCGAGTAGTCCTTGGTTCTAGACAGAGTAATGAGCCCTGGAAATAAAATTCTAAATGAAATATAATTCTTGCTTCTAAATGTTTAGAGATCTGTTATAATGATGTCTTTCAACATCGTGAAAACAAAGGATGCCGCTTTGCTAAAAGATACCTCTGTGGTTTGCTTGGCAGGCTCCGTATTACAAAGACTTTGCTCTTTCCGTTCCCCCTCATTAGGTGACAAGGCAGGGGAAAGTAGTCAGGAACAAGAAATGCAGAATAATCTGCTTTGCCTGGCCACTCCTATCGGGTTTTCTATTTTTTTTTTTTTTTGTGGCTCAGGTTGCTGAGTAAATTCTCATAGTTTAACCTAGCTGAGCCCAGAGATAATACGAACTCATCTGAATGGGGCAGCACAGCAATTTGCAGCGAGGAAAGGTGTCTCACATACCTCTCCCGACTGCCTGGATCTTCCCATAACCAGTTGTTTCCTGGTCCCAGAAACCTCACAATGGGGCTCTATGAAATTCCTGCATTCCATTGGCTTACAGTCCTCTGAGTCATTCTTACACAATCCTTTTCTAGAGTGAGTTATACCCTTCATAATAAAAAAACATGTCTGGCAAGCTAGCTGCAAATTGAGGCAGAGACAATTTTATCTAGAGCACTGAACGTATTCCCAGGGTAGTATTTATCCAGAATTGTCTTTCCATTTTCACTGCTGATCTTTTCCAGCTGTAGCAGCAGTAGCATTTGCCTAGACTTCAGCAAATGGAGACAGTATGTTGTCACATTGTTACATGTTAGATTTAGGAGGCTGGAACCATTCACTGGGACAATTTTCCTCTTTAAGGCAATTTTATTGGCTTCCCTTTCAAACAAGAACCAGAAATGAGAATGATATCTACCCTAATTTGACAAAACCACTTTCAAACATTTCACTTTCTAGGTCAGCGAGGTTTTGGTGCTTTTCAATTTTTCCCTTTTTATTAACCTCATTACCCTCCTCCACGCGGCTTCCAGTGAATTCCTGGATTGGGACGAAAGTGTGTTCAATTGATATGGGAAATAACACACACCTTTGTATTTTTTGGATCTTTGCTTTTAAGAAATAATAAAGGCAAGATGTTTTCATTTCACAATCACAGCATTTATCATGGTTGGTGACCCTAGATTTCTTTTTGCTTTTGATAATCACCTCTTTGTATTCACCTGGAGCACTGGGCTACAGTAATAATAGTAATAATAACAACCATTTATTTATTTCATACTATAAGCTGGGCAGTGTGTAAGACGCTTCACATACATTCCTTGTCTCAATCCTTGTGGCCAGCCTGGCAAGGTAAATATTGTTACCATGACTTTACATACCAGGAAACTGAGGCACAGAGAAGATAAGGAAAATTTCAAGGTCATAGAACTTCATATTACCTTCTGTGTCTAAGATTCATGATGATCGAAATCACTTGTGGTTTGTCTCTTGCAATGTCCTCTTTACTCCATGGATGCTCACCATTCACAGGCAAACCTTATTTAATTGAGCTTCACTTTATTGCACTTTGCAGATATTGCGCATTTTACAAATTGAAGGTTTGTGGCAACCCTGCATCTAGCAAGTCCATTGGCATCATTTTTCCAACAGCATGTGCTTACTTCATGTCTTTGTGTCATAGTTTTGTAATTCTAACAGTATTCCAAACATTTTGATTATTATTACATCTTTTAGACTGATCTCTGGTCAGTGATCTTGGATGTTCCTATTGTAATTGTTTTGGGGTGCAATAAATAGCACCCACGTGAGACAGCAAACTTAGTAGATAAATGTTTATGTTTTGACTACTCCACCAACCTGTCATTACCCTGTTTCTCTCCCTGTCTTAGGGCATCCCTATTTCCTGGGACACAACAATATTGGAATTAGGCCAGTTCATAACCCTACAAGGTCCTCTCAGTGTTCAAGTAAAAGGAAGAGTGGCATGTCTTTCACTTTAAATCAAAAGATAGGAATGATTAAGTTTAGTGAGGAAGGCATTTTGAAAGCTGATATAGGCCAAAAAACTAGGCCTCTTGTGTCAAATAGTTAGCCAAGTTGTGAATGTAAAGGAAAAGTTCTTGAAGGAAATTAAAAGTACTACTCCAGTGAACACATGAAAGATAATAAAGTAAAATAGGCCAGGTGTGGTGGCTCACATCAGTAATCCCAGCACTTTGGGAGGATGAGGCAGGAGGATCACTTGAAGCCAGGACTTTGAGACCAGCCTGGGCAATATAGCAAGATCCCATCTTCACAGAAAATTAGAAAAATTAGCCAAGTGTGGTGGTGCACACCTGTAGTCCTAGCTACTCTGGAAGGTGAGGCAGGAGGATTGCTTGAGCCCAGGAGTTTGAGGCTACAGCGAGCTGTGATTATGCTACTACATTTCAGCCTGGGTGACAGAATAAGGCCCTATCTCTAAAAAAAAAAAGAGAAAAGAAAAGAAAAAAAACAACAAAAGCAAAACAGTCTTACTGCTGATAGGGATATGGAGAAAGTTTTAGTGGTCAGGATAGAAGATCAAACCAGCCAAAACATTCCATTAAGCCTAATGCAGGGCAAGGCCCTAACTCTCTTCATTTCTGTGAAGGCTGAGAGAGGTGAGGAAGCTGAAGAAGAAAAGTTGGAGGCTAGCAAAGGTGGGTTCATGAGGTTTAAGAAAAGAAACCACTCCAAAATGATGCCCTTAACACAAAAATAAAGGCTTTACTATTTAAAAAAAAATAGTTCAAGGTGAGGCAGCAAGTGCTGATGTAGATAGAAGCTGTAGCAAGTTATCTACAAAGTCTAGCTAAGGTCATTAATGAAAGTGGCTAAACAGCAGATTTTCAATGTCCATGAAACAGTCTTCTTTTGGAAGAAGATGCCATCTAGGACTTTCATAGCTTTAGAGAAGAAGTCAATGCCTGGCTTCAAAGCTTCAAAAGGTAGGCTGACTCTTGTTAGGTGCTAATGCAGCTGGTGACTTTAAGTTGAAGCCAGTGTTCATTTATCATTCCAAAAGTCCTAGAGTCCTTAAGAAGTATGCTAAATCTAGTCTGCCTGTGCTCTATAAATGGGACAACAAAGCCTGGATGACAGCACATGTGTTTACAGCATTGTTTACTGAACATTATATTTTAAGCCCAATGTTGAGAACTACTGCTCAGAAAAAAAAAGATTCCTTTCAAAATATTACTGTTCATCGACAGTGCATCTAGTCAACCAAGAGTTCTGGTGAGGATGTACATGAAGATTAACGTTGTTTTCATGCCTGTAGTCCATGGATCAAGGAGTAATTTCAACTTCAAGTCTTATGATTAAGAAATGCGTTTTGTAAGGCTATAGCTGCCATAGATAGCAATTCTTCTGATGGATCTGGGCAAAGACACCTGAAAACCTTCTGGAAAGGATTCACCATTCTAGAAGCCATTAAGAACATTCATAATTCATGGGAGAAGGCCAAAATATCAACAATAACAGGAGTTTGGAAGAAGTTGACTCCAATCCTCATGGATGACTTTGAGGACTTTGAGACTTTAGTGGAAGAAGTGATTGCAGGTGTGGTAGCTATAGAAAGGAAACCAGAATTAGAAGTGGAGCCAGAAGAGATGACTCAAATGCTGCAATTTCATAATAAAACTTTAATAGATGAGGAGTTGCTTTTTATGTATGACCGAAGAAAGTGGTTTCTTGAGATGGAATTTACGCCTGGTGAAAAGGCTGTGAACGTTGTTTAAATGACAACAAAAAACTTAGGATATTAAATAAACTTAGTTGATAAAGCAGCAGCAGGATTTAAGATGATTGACTCCAATTTTGAAAGAGGTTCTGCTGTGGGTAAAATGCTCCCAAACAGCATTGCATGCTACAGAGAAATCCTTTCTGAAAGAAAGAGTCGTTTTTGTGGCAAACTTTATTGTTGCTTTATTTTAAGAAATTGCCACAGCCGCCCCAACCTTCAGCAGCTACCACTCTGATCAGTCAGCAGCCATCGACATCAAGGCAAGACCGTCCACCAGCAAAAAGATTATGATTCACTGACAGCTAAGATGATCATTGACATTTTTAAGCAATAAAGTATTTTAAAATAAAGGTATGCACTTTTTTAGACACAATGCTATTGCACACTTAATAGACTACAGTATAGTGTGAACATAACATTTATATGCACTGGAAAATCACAAGAGTTGTGTGATTCGCTTTATTTCAATATTCGCTTTATTGTGGTGGTCTGGAATGGAAGCTGCAGTATCTGCAAGATATGCCTGACTTTAAAACACATAACTCAGGAATTGCACGAATGAGGGTGGAAACAAGAGATACCGAAAGGGCTGAAGGTTAAGAAGACTGCCTAACTTTTCTGAATTTCTCTTTCTTCATTCAGAAATACAAATAATCATATTTACTTTTAAAGACATTTTGGTTTATGTATATTATGATTTTCCAGTCACATAGGAGAAGCTCAGTAAATGTTAGCTCCCTTTTGTGCCCATGGTTGAGGTCTGTGTGCTCCCCTTGTCTTTCCTCTGTATCTCCCACCAGTTACTCACAGTGCAGGAGGATGGGTCTGGCCAAATCTTTATCAGTTAGAGTTTTGCAGCCCCCTGACCTCAGTGATTGGTTCAGGGAAGGGCACATGACTCAATATGAACCAATCAGAGTACTCCCCAGGATTTTTCAGACTGAAGTTCACAGGGATGCCTTTTCTTGAGAACTGTGGACTTGCTAGGACATTAAGTTCAGAGATGGCTCCTGCAGCCCTGGTCTCCTTTGTATGGTGGAGTCAACATGCTTGAAGATCAACTAAGCCAATAAAAAGAGATGCAGTGATAAAAGATGGAAAGAAAACAAAAGCAAGACAAAATGTTCAGTCTGTTTTTTGGTCCCCAGATCTTGCCATTCCTAGGTCTGTCTTTACTCATTTCCTTCTCAAAGCTGGGAGATTTTGTTAATCCTTTCACTTATGCAGATTGCCCTACTATAGGCGAATATTAATTTTTAACTACTTTTCACTTCTCGTTTCAGTAATTTGAGGTTTTTCCATCTAGTCTTTCTGTCATTAGGGTATAATTGAAAATGCAGGGTGCTCTGAATTTGTAAAATAACATAAGGATGGGAAAGTAGATGAGGGTATGGATGGGGAGAGATTGGCCTGGGGTTGATGGGTTTGGGGGGTGAGTGATAGGTACATGAAGGTTAATTATACTATTTAGTTTTGTGTGTTCTTCATAATAAAGCTTAAACTAGCAAAAACACAGCAACAAAAATTAACAAAACACAGACTTGGTTGTGAAACTGAGTCTCATGTCCTCCACAAAGATGAATATGACATAAGAGCAGTTCCTGAAAAATGGAAAAGGAAAAGCCCTCTGTGGCTTGGAGGAGACTGAAGGAGAGAAGAAGAGAAAGGCAAGAGCATAGCTGAAGATGCCTGGCTCCCTTTCTGGGTTGA